TTAAAATAATTGTATCTTTTCATGGCTCATGAAATCTGTTTTTAGATACGTTTTCGACTGTATGTTTAGAAGCATTGTTGATTTATTGTGAAAGATGGTTTAACAGTTAAACCGTAGAGTAAGCTAAACTTGTTCTATATAGACTCGTCTTATGAATAAATACATGTAAAATGTTTCGGTGTTGGCTGTGCCTTCCATTACATTTAAACAAGGCAAACTTGGACAACCACTTCTGCGAGACGTCTAGCTTAAGAGTAAAATCTCAGCTTTCACGCAGTATTTTCAGCCAGTCAACTAAACCCACGCAGAACTGACTGTTAACTGAGTAATGTTATATGTGCAGATCATGTTTACGTTGAGCTGAGAAAAGATTTCGTTGCACTCCTATCATTCCCAGAAGCGCTTTCCACCCATTTTCAGCTCTAGTCCTGATGGTACCAGTAATAGTCTGACTGTGGGTGCATCTTCTCTTTCTATTGAATGTTGAGTGTCGATCAGATCGCCTTGTCACCCATCGCTGCATTATTCTCTTCAAATTGTGATGATCTAGTTGTGCCTCTTCGATGTTCACTCGCTTTCAAGTCTTGAGTTAGATAGAAGAAGGCGCACTTATGGGTTACTTCCCGTGTGCCATGATGTTGATCAGTTGTTCAAAACCTCAAACCTAAATCGCAAAACCTCAAACCTCGCTGTAAATACGAACTTGCTGTAGTAGGTTGAGTAAATTTGGTGTCGTGTTTCTGATACTTTAACGCTCTTCCTACTTATATATTCATATATCCTTAGTATGCCTGTGTGGGTATAGGTACCATATACTAGAAAGGGACTGACTGTATATTTAGTTACTTTAGAATTTAATACATAAGAGTTTAGCACTACCATCTCTGACTCATCATTGAATAGTAGCTACAACTTTGTGGGGCTGAAAGAGTTAAGACTAGCATCTCTTGTGGGTTCAGGGACCTGATTAGGGAGGGAGAGAGAAAGGGGTTGATCTGTAGCCACATTAAAGATTTTCTAAAATCGGATGTTTTTGGTTCAAAGTGGAAAATCTGTTAACCAGAGCACTAGGGGCCAACCTGTCTGTTATATACGAACGTAGAAGAGAAATACAATAAGGAGGAACAGCGAATCTGATACAGAACACTAGAGGAGACAGATCTGTGGAGAAACACAAACGCCCACACAATATAGCAAGACACACCATGATGTTGATGATAATTGGAAAAAAAAGTACTGAACCAAAGATTCAAACAATGCACTCCTTCATTACACATTATTTATTTGCAGTTATCTGTTTGCAACATGATTAACATAAAAGCATCATATTTACAAAAAAGTGAAAATTTACATATTTACAAAGAGCAGTATCCATATAATTATATAATTCCATATATTTTAAAGTATTATATTGGTATACATTAGCCAAGCAGGCTCAATTTTCAAACTTGATCCAAGGCAATGGGAAAATCCATATACGTTTAGCGACTAATTTAAAAAAAAATGGCCAGCTAATAAATAATTACATAGCATATACACAAAGAGCTGTGGCATAGAAGTTACTTTACATGCCTGACAATAAAAAAGACTTGGTTCAAACCAATACCGAGGTAGGAGTATTTTTTTTACCCACACGGCTCGGAGTAAAGTGCATTTCGTTAAAATATTCACTAAAACATGTAAGGATTATCTGGGAAGTAAAGTCGACGAGAGAGCTGCTAGCCAATTCACCTCACATGTCGTAATCTAGAATGCGTGAATGTTTATCATTTTACATACCAAAGATCATCACTGGTATTGTACAACCTGTATTGTTTGTATTGCATGCAGTCAGCTGCTAAACTTTCTGTGGATTGTTCTTCAGCTTTGATCGAATTGTTTTGACAAAGGCGAATTATGTTACGACTTGCTTAAGTTGTCAACTATTCAATCACCCAGTCAGTCGATCAATCTGTTACCCAGTCAATCAATATCTTTTCGTTTCCTCACTGAAAGTTTACTTCAATGGATCTCCAATGTTCTCCGAGACCTCTTTTCTCCCATATATTGATGGTGCCATCTTTGTAATTTACAAGAAGCAAACTTATTATAGTCTGCGCCTTTAAAGTATAATTGGTACTTGATGATAGTCGGGTATTTCTTACAGACTAATAAACACCCGGATGGTAACGTTGTCAAGATTGTCAAGATCACAGCCAGCGTCTTTGCATTTCTTCTTTTCCAGTTGATGCTAGCTCTACATAGAAACATTTAAAAAAATCCTCTTTGAGGGGTATTCGAACCCCTGCCACGAGACTGGCAGGCAAATCAAAGTAACTGAAAACTATTAGCCATATTTTGCTTTGGTGATCCTGCATTATCATTGATTATATATGTGAATATAATTTTAACAAAATACAATGGAAGATCTTGATGGATAAAGAAATCAGTATAGTTTCAAAAGTGTTGGTCTATTACTGTGTATAAATTCTGATTCATTCATTTTACAAACATGGTTATGACATTACAAGACTTCCCGTATTTTGTCAGAAAAATTTGACAAGTTAAGGTCTATTTCACTTAGAACGAATACAACACTACAGTGATGTTTAGCCATATTTGGATAATTGTGCATCTGGAACAGATCGTATTCAAATAATAATAAGCATTGATAAGAATTCAGCGATCAGGTGCTGAGGTTATGAGAAATGTAGAACCTGATTTAATAAATAACTGGGAGACTACTGACGAATTCATAATTTGAAAATATCTGAACTCGTACAAACCGACTTTAAAAAGATAGTTTTACATACACATTACTAGTATTATTGCAAGATTATGTGAACATTCGGATGATGTGTAGAAAGGAGCCAGAACAGGTAGGTATAGAGTAGTCGAAAACAGATAAACACAGGCTGTGGACAATACAGACTTAACTTTAACAAAAGAACAACTAGTAGTATAATGATGTATAGTATATTCTTTCAAAAACGTAGGCAGTGATATGCCCTAATACAATTATTTAACTTTCGAGTTTCTGAAAACAGTGGGTGTGTGTGACAAATAACAAACGACAGTCGAACAGAAAGACAAAACAAAAAGCAAGGAATCAAATTTAAGAGAATAACTTAAAAAAAAAAACAAAAAAAACAGGAGTATAAGACGGTAAATGCTGAAACAAGAAAGCCGCAGATGGTAACACAAGTTTGATGAGAGCTCCATGAATTCTCTTTCTCAGCTCTCACGTCCCAGTGTACATAACACCTGCAGAACAGCAAGACAAACACACAGTTGTAAGCATGCAGAGTCAAATCTAAAATCGTAAAGTTTTGATAAAACCCTTTATTCCACTGTTTTTGAGGTAAATATCCTTCTGTCCCGCTAGATAACACACGGACGCTAATTTATTGAAAAGGAGTTTTGGGTTTAGGACATCAGTTTCTGTTTCAGTGAGAACAGATACTGACTCACACCAATATTACACACTGAGTGCGTCCTGTTATAACCTGTTATAACCACAGCTTCTTTATCAGTCAGATTTAGAATGATACCTGTGTCATTCAAATGCCAGGTGTTTTTAACTTTCAGCCAATTACTATGACGCCCATTCCCAAGACTAAGTGTATCATAGTTATTAGCGTAACATTTACAAAACCGACCCTATCATTTTTGGTTGTTTGTGATTTTACTGAGCAGTTTTAGGTTCATTAGTTTGCCATTGCTTTTTAAAAGATCAGCTCTTGAAACCTGAAATTGTATGCACTTTTTGTGGCAGCTGCTTCTTAACTCAAGCTGGTTCTGCTAGTAGTGCCTTCTCTCGCCAGATGATGTGATTTCCCTGCCGACCCATAGTTTAATGGAACAAACAAGATCGTCTGGAAGATGGAAAGTGCCCACCAAGGTGTCACTTTAAAGGAACAACTGCCCTCTCCGCTCCCTCCTCTTTTTTTTTTTTTCACTCTTCAGTTTTTAGTATTTGCTTTGTGTCCATTAGGCATTTCAGTTTAACAAGTGACAGGTAGCAAAGCCTCGGCTGTTTGATTGCTTTGCTGATTTATTATACAGATTATAGCAAAGTAGTTTGTGAAATTTTGTATTCGTCGCCGGGCTTGTATTTGTTGGTTGGCCCCATCATTCCAAACGAGAGTGTTTTATGCTATAGAGTTTCACTTGGAACCGCAGCCTATGGCGATGGCAAGTATGACCAACAAGACCCAACCGAGTTTTCTACAGCTACAGCATGAGATTTCAGGACCACTGTGACCATCACATGTATTTAGTTTTTTTTTTTTTTAAAGTCGCTCAGCAACCCTTCTGAACCCCGCAACATGGTTCGCAGCATATTATTTCCACAAATCTTCATCGATATCTATATTATTTATGTCCCGCATGCACACATCTTTATATTGTAATAAATCCTAAACAACCACACAATGTATTGATCAGCACTCATAGAGAAAAATAGAAAGATGGACAAGTAGACAACATAAATCGAAAGATATAGCTACTGTGCCAAACTCCAACCTGTCATCTTTAAATGACGAATTCACCTCACTGTGGAAACAAGTGTTCTAACACTATGACTAACTTGGCACCCCTACAAATGGTCTTCATTAGCTATGTTATCGTACATCTTGAAATCTTCAACTATTGAATACGGACATGTTTCAAACATTTATATTGCAGTATATTTTACGGACATTTATATTAACCAAGCATAAGGGCGAATAAAAAACACAAGGCCAATTATCAACACATGAGACCGTAATGTTGTGTCTTTAATATAACGAACATTTAAGAAAGAGATTTGATTGGTGGGTTCCATTGTAACATGTTTTACACATATCTTTATATCGTAGTAGGTGCTTTTATCGACATCTCCTATCTATATGGAATTCACAACAGAGGAGATCAGGTTTAGTATAGGATGATATAATGTAACGTTGTAGTGCTGAGAAATTCAATATTCATTTAATTAAAACAAAGATACTTTCTAAAATAAAGGCCTGCTTACCTGCAACTGCCCCTGTGATGATGTTCGCCAGGTTGCCAGCGATAAACGATCGAATGAGGACGTTAATGATGTCGTTTTTACGCTCCGGAGACATGGGTATTAAAGTCCCCATTGTAAAACCAATAGCTGGGAAAGCAGAGATTCCACACAGGGCATACGTTGTGATGACCTCGGACCGTTCCTAAAAGCAACACGAAAATAGGGTGTGTAGAAGGGAGATACTGTAGGTTACTGCGTATGTGTAGGAGAGAGATACTGTATGTTACTGCGTGTAAAGGAGAGAGATACTGTTGGAGAGAGATATTGTAGGAGAGAGATACTGTAGGTTACTGCGTGTGTGTAGGAGATAGATACTGTAGGTTACTGCGTGTGTGTAGGAGAGAGATACTCTAGGTTAAAGCGTGTGTGTAAGGACTTGAACATCTGGTCAGAAATGTCCGTTGGATACGTTTACTGTATTTTTTGAAATCTCTCTTTCTCTCTCTCTCTCTCTCTCTCTCTCTCTCTCTCTCTCTCTCTCTCTATGGATGTCTCTCCCCTCCCCCTCTCTCTCTTAAATGCACACATATAACCAAACTACCACACGCAAACATCTGCCCATTAATACCTTTTTTACACTTTTGTGGTGTGGGCGGAGTGCGGGATGGCGGGGGGGGGGGGGGGGGGGAATCGTAATATTTATTTTACTTTACTTAAAAGATCGCTTCGACTTAAGACCGAGATTCCCTCCGACTAACAGGCAGGACCTCTATTTTTGACACTGTTTTTATTAAACCAGGTTATCAAATGGTACATAAAGTATAAAAAGGCAATCTATTTAGGCGTAATTATTGTACATAGTGAGGAAAATAATAAAGTCAAATTCCGTTTTATCCTACCAATGTAGTTCTCTTTCTTTATATATATATATATATATTTTTTTTTTGGCGGTCATAAGTGTGGATGGTTTTGAGTTACTTAGCTGGTCAGTCGATAAGAAGATGTAATGAAATAACTGGTAATAAACAAGTCAGAAAAATAAATTATGTCATTTGCACAATGGATGTTGTTTGCATTGAATCAACAGCTGTCTTTAGGAATATTACATGATAAGACACCAATCTTTTTCACGGTGGTACTCTCATACCACTGTCTGAAAGCCAAGAAAAAGTCCCTAAAAATTAAAAATAAAAAACCTTCCTGACACATCGAAAATAGGAATGTGCAAAAATGTCACTAAATATTGCGTGTGACGGGGAGGCAAGGTAAAGAGATGTGGCTAAATGTGATGACCAACAGTCGAGTATATAAAGTATACAAATAATTTCATATAAATATGAAATGTTACCTTCATAAATCCTAGAGGTAAAGTCGTATTGGTCTCTTCCAAGATGATGTCACGGCCAGCCCAGTACCAGGTGCCAGTTCCATTTGTTTCTTTCACATAATCTTCGAAAACATGGCGATTCTGTGGGAAGACATAAAATTCAGTGGTATACAAGTAGTAGTCAGGACAGAAGACATGTTATTCGAAGCCCTATACAATTTGCTAGTCTTTCAGGCTTGTGTTCTCTGTGCTCTTTTTTAATAAACATGGTCAACTTATCTGCACCAGAAGAAACGGCGGTTAAATGGCTTTCACATGCGATGCCTAAGAAGAAAATTTGTCATTAAGCGGAAAGACAAGATTACTAAGCGGAAAGACAAGATTACTAACATTGAAGTTTTGTAAAGCGTGTATTACACAGATCTCTCAGTGCTCAGTCTACGAAAGCTCGGATGTCAGGATCACCACTGGAGAATGGTAGAATCTCTAAGGAGATCCTCTATGGCAATTTACAGATGTGTGGACAATATCGAGGCCAAACTCTCCAACAATATAAAGATGCGGGACATGGATGCTAAAGATATATATTGAAGTAGATTTGTGGGAACCACGTGGGTCGTATTGTGTGGAGGGGTAGAATAGGGAAGGATATAAGAGCAACGGGTAAAACATGATACAAAGTATGAGAGCTGAGCGTCTGAGAAGACGCGAACAATATACACATGATGGGAAGAACTGTTCTGAAATCCTATGTTTTAGCGATGGAAGATATTTCGTAACGTGAAGGGGACTTGCTAGTGATACGAGCCATGGCCATGGGTTGTGACCCCCTAAATGTTTCAATGGCACAATATAACCCTGTCATCCGGACAGACGGAAAGAGGTCAACAAAAACATAAACAGTTCTCCCTCACTGGAAATCAAGATAGCATGTGTGATATTGATCACATGTTTAATCATTAACATTAATATTAACATTAACATAATCATAAATTATTAATCATTTAACTTTTTTTTTTAACGTTAGGGCGCGCTTGTTAGGCATTAGATACATGTAGTAATATTTACTGATAACACGGCTGGTATGTGGATTCAGTATCATCTTCACCAACTAAAGATGATAATAAATGTAATAACATATGGAGCGGTTAACAACATATAATCTATAGTAATCATTGTGGCCTGGCATAAGAGATTTGGAGTATTCTATAAACATTTTACACTTTTACGTTTCCCATTATAAATCATTGTGCAACACACGCACACACACACACATACACAAGAAACATTATGGTGTGTGTGTGTGTGTGTGTGTGTGTGTGAGACATTAATGTGTGACTATGTGTACGTGCACCTGCACGAGTGCACACATAATGAGTAGCATAACATAAAGATAGTTTTGGCAGTAGAAACAACTTACGGCAATCATCTGACCCAGATCAGCATATGCGACGAAAGGAGTGGCCATCAACTTGAGGCCAATGAGAGATCCAACAGTTCCGCAGTCATCGGGATGTGTGCCCATCAGGAACGACAGCGGGTAGAAGAAGAAGGAACACAAATACTGTGGACAAAGGGGTTCTTCGTCAGCATACCTAGTGACATTCATAACTAGTTACCTATATTATTGAACGATGGATCGCTGCTGATGCTGTAAATGGCTTAAAAACAGTAAAGGGTCATTTCCCGCATTCTGAGACAGATGGCGTACACGAAAGTTTGTAACTGGGGTATCCATAACATCTTCACAAGCTTGGTGTTGTTTGCAGCCAACAGTTGATAAAGAAGTGCATGGCTCTTATCCTAGAATCCAATTGACCAATCAACAATGATCTTAAAATCGCTTTGCTCTTTTACTCCCCGCAACATGTACCGTCTCTGATTTTGATTATTTCGAACTCAGATCTTCATCTTCTTCAGCATTCCGAGCCATTTAGGTTCACTGCTGCAGATATCACCCGCTTTCATTCATTTCAGACAGTGGCTGTTGCGTCTTTGCTCCATTTGTCGACTCAAAAGATATAGCTTCGTCGCCCAGCAACGAAGTTGAGTGCATGACGAGACACTGTGAGCTGCGGATTTCATTTAGAATGTTTTTCGACTGTGACCAACGTCGTGCTATCAATTGTAAATTAAGAAAATGGCGTATGACCTGTAGTCGCAAAATTGGTGGTGCCCTTATGTGATTAAAATTGATTGCGTTTGCCACTGCTGATCTGTTGGTAACTTCAGCTACCGTCGATGATGAACTGCATTTGTAATGTCAGACTATTTGTGTTAGCACTTCTGATAGCTACCGTACGTGTTAATGCGTGTGTATGCTAGTGCAGATGCCAAGACAGCAGTCTGGCAATCTTTCCACAGGGGACTGTGATGAACATTCTGTGTGTTTTTCTTTGGCACAGGAGCGGAGCAACTATGGGGTGACCCGTTTGCTATGAAGCTGAAAGTAAAAAGTTGTAGAAAAGACTACTACCATAGCATATAACGTTACCTGTACTCTCACTATCGTCGTCATCACCAGACAAGTCTCTCCAACAACAACCACTATTGCACTACTGCTACCTCAGCTTCTACTACTACAACCGTTACAACACCAACCACCACAAGGGCTACTGTTACTACTACATCTAATACCAGTCACCCTACCCTGAATAAAATATGTGGAGGTGAATTAAGTCCCTTTACATACTTTTTTTTAAGGAGAGGCCCGGGGTGGTGTGGGGGATAATACGATTTAACCTTGTTTAATTACGCCGTAACATAAATAGGGATTGACATAATAATAAATGTGTTCCTAATAACATATACATGTGTGTATGTGTGAGTGTGTGTGTGTGTGTGTGCGTGCGTGTAGGAGCGATGGTGTGTGTGTTTATATATAGATGTGGGACTATACATGTGAGAGAGAGAAATAATATGAAATGTATGAACGAATCCTTACAAATAGGTTGTCTATGCTTGGTGGGGGAGGTTGGGGACAGAAAATAAGGCACCTTGGGCTTCTGGCGCACACGAGTACTACCATTGACATTGTTCCTGATCAAACTGTACAGCTGCAAGTATACCTAAAGTGACCAGCACTCAGTTTGTGTGATTACCTGCACCGACATGCCCTCGACGTTTGCTCGTTCTCCCAGCCACAAGAGGATGGCATTCACCAGACTCAGCATGGAGACAAAGGCCAACATATTGACCATGATGGCGGCGATGAGTTTGACAGAGAAGAGAGCCCCGTCAGAAAACGCCTGCAGGGCATTCCGGTGTTTGCTGGAGGAGAGAGAGACTGAGCGTTATCATCATGTACCGGTGTTTGTCCGATGATGAAAAATGTATATCTTCTTCTTTTTGCTTTTATCGGATGTAAACTCCTGTGAAAGGTTTCACCTCTTGACTTTAGTCTTGTTCCAGATCCTGAGTATTGTGTGCACATCCCTTTTAAAGATCGGATACTTATTTGTAGGTAAAAATAAAGTACCCTTTTTCACGCCTCTAGGTTTATAGGGCATATAGGGCTAGACCTATATGTTTATAGACCAATCAGCGCAAAATAGGTGATGTGGTCAGCATCACACTGGTCGCCTTAACTTCCCGGGACTGCAATCGGTACTCACTCAAGGCTGGGTCGACCTGGGAGCCAAGGTCATTTTTGAAGAAAGTCCGGGTCCGCCAGGGAGCGAACCCACGACTTTCTGATTCGCAAAATCACAGCGACTCCCTTGTTATGTATGTAGAATGTTGTTTCTCTGCCCCTAAGGCAGATGCACTGCGTCTCTGAAGTAAGCCCTCAGCTAGTAGACTTGTACAACATACTTGTTCTGGAGGCACTGGGTTCTGTATATCTGTGTATGCTTTAGACGCAATAACCCGAGT